TAAGGCTTGCCTGGGCCATCCAGGTCGGGGCCTCAACGCTGTTTCTGGTGCCCGCCAAGTGATTTTAGAAAATGCATGGGGCCAAGTGGGGCTTGTAATTGGCTATGCAGATGAAAAGACATCCTATTAAATTTGAAATGCTGCTGAGTTATTAGTTAAGCGATATCTACTATAACTCCCTGACATTGTGCAGTTGGCTCTGCCTTGGGAGGCAGCCACTGTGGATCCATGGTGAAACAGTGAACATGCCCGTTTGAAGGATTTTCCTATAGACCCATGGATCTGGATACTACCTTGCTGGAGTGATTGTAATAATTGATATCAAGACAAACACCGTCCTTGTGCTTGATGCTATTCAAGAAAATTGCTGACGTTCAGAGGCAGTCTCTTCGAAACGGAACTTGACTCTGGAGATTTTCGTCAACTATTTTTCTCTACTTACCTGTTACACCTATGACTTACCTGTTACACTTCATATTGTGAGAATTTCTTGTTGTATATGTATTTTGTACTGCTGAATATTGATTGGAAGGATGTTATACTTTGGCCCCGGTCACACAGGCCGGATATCGCGGAGGGGGAGGCGTGGCTAATTGCCCCGGCACAGTTTGATGCGCGATTATGCGATCAGACCGCGCCGGCGGCACACCACGGGTCCTTCCCTCGGCGCCGGCGGGTAAACGAGGGACCGGAGGGGAATGCTGCGCGCTGGCGCGATCACATGTCTGGAGGCAGCCTGTGGCAAACGTTTACTAGTACCTTGGAGGTACTAGTTTTTTAAGGCGTATTGTCGGCGGTAAGCCACCGGTGCACTCCACTTCCCAGATGCTGGGGTGTGATCGCGCCCGGATAATCCGCCCACCATCCGTGCCTCTCCCGTGGCAACTTTGCCATATGACCGGGGCCTTTGAATGTTTTGTACTTTGTGACATTATATAGCGCTTACTTTCGCAGCTTCGTTTGTGTGTGTTCCCATGGTTTCTGTGGCTGCAACCTTCTGTTCATGTACATTATTTGCCAGCCATGTGCCTCACTCCACCTTTCTCACGTTCAGAACCGTGCTTGAAAACTAATCCCAGTTACCCATGAGACAGGAACGCCAGCATGCAGATTAACGGGAGTTTGGGTTGAATTCTCAGTTGGGGGGGGGGAGTCTCGTCTGCCTGCTTGCATTCGTACATCACGGGCAACCAATTAGTTTTCAACCAGGATTCTCTTACAAGAAGTGAGGGGTGGGGAGGAAGAGCAGGGCATGTGTTTGTTCCAGCTTGTAATGTCAAAGAACACAACTGGTCCTTCTCTCAGCTTGCTGCATCATATGAAAATCTTGTTAGAGCAAGATATATCAAGATAGGTAGCCGTGTTCGTCTGTCTGTAGCAGTGGTGCTGCTGGCACACTGAGAGTTCAGAAGACCGTGGGTTTCCGCCTGCACCCGATTGCTCCCAATGCACGACCACTCTCTGCTCTGGAGTGGCGTCAGAGCAATGTTTGTGGGAGGGGATGAACTTTCCTGGGTGACAGGAGATACAGGTAGAATGTGGGCCCATCCATCCTTATATCTTGGAGAGGAGTGATTTCAGATGCTGAATGACAATAGGAGGTGAATGACAACAGCGGGTGTGATTGGATTAGGTGTGATATGCAGAGGAGGAGTAGGCATGGAGAAATCAGCATTGGCTATAAGCCAGGAAACCTAGGTCTCAATTCAGTCCAGGAGGGTGCATTGTCTCGAGCTTCATCATTATCAGTTGCAATTCAGCAGCCTCTCTTTCTAACCTCCCTTTGAGATTCCTTTGTAAGAGAATTGCTACTCTTAGGTCAGCAACTGAATATCCTGGAAGGTTAAAATGTTCCCCCACTGGTTTTTGAATGGTGTCAGACTATTGTTAACGCAGAACAGAGTATAGAATCTAAACTGAACATATAGGGTAGGTTTTACGTACACAAAAAGCACAATCGGCTTTATTCTCCACATCAATAAACATTTTCTGTTGTTGTTGTTGTTCAGTCGCACAGTCGAGTCCGACTCTTCGCGACCCCATGGACCAGATCACGCCAGGCCTTCCTGTCTTCTGCCGTCCTCTGAAGTTGGCTCAATTTCATGTTCGTTGCATCTATGACACTGTCTAACCATCTCATCCTTTGCCGTCCCCATCTTCTTTGACCTTCAGTCTTTCTCAGCATCAGGGTCTTCTCCAGGGAGTGCTCCCTTCTCATTGGGTGGCCGAAGTATTTGAGCTTCAGTTTCATTATCTGGCCTTCCAGGGAACAGTCAGGGTTGATTACTTTTAGGATTGACTGATTTGATCTTCTTGCAAGCTATAATATTTGTATAAGGGTGTTTACAGATTCCGGTAAGGGTTCTACACTTCCAAGAGTGTTTTACACCCTTAGAAAAGCAATGCAGCATCCCAAGAGAAATGCAGAATTTTTTAAACACCCATTTCTGCTTCAGTTGCTCCCAGAGCACAGTTACAACAATCAACACTTGTCTTTTATGCGTAGCTCTCGGTTGCCCTCTGCTGGCCGGACAGCAAAGGAAACATTGTCCACCTGGTTCAGACCTTTTCCTGAGGTTAGACCATTCTGTTGTCCCTCATGTGGAGATGTTATATGGGTAGCGGGGCAACGCTCCCTCTGAGCTGTGGGGTCTCGTGAGCCAAAATCCTACTTTGTGAGCTCCTGGCATTAAAGTTGTGAGCGAGCCATTTGGCTGCTGCATCAATTGGTTCGTTCTGGAGCCCTCCTTCCTGAGCGAAGACAAAAAGGTATGAGCTGAAGGCTAAACAATTGTGAGTTAGTTCACACTAACTCAGCTTAGAGGGAACACTGGTAGCGGGTGCTGCTGGCACACTGAGAGTTCAGAAGACCGTGGGTTTCCGCCTGCACCCGATTGCTCCCAATGCACGACCACTCTCTGCTCTGGAGTGGCGTCAGAGCACGGTACCCGGTTCCTACGGAGCAGAGGTCCCCCAACCCTTTTCAGCCTGCTGGCACTTTTGGAATTCTGAAACAACATGGTGGGCGGAGCAACAAAACGGCTGCCGGAACATGGCTGCTACAGGAGGCAGAGCCAGAGAAAGGACTATAAATCCTCTGTATGTTAATATATTTTAGTGCATTTCTTTTTTAGAATAGTATATTAGAATACTGAATGTATGCAACGGATATTAGGATGTCCCCTTCCTCTTGGCTGGGGGGGGCACACCGGGAGGGAAAGGAGACGAAGAAGGGGAGGGAGGGCCGGTCCAGGACGTCGGCAAACCAAGACAAGCTTCAAGGCTGCTGCCGCTGCCGCAGGGGAAAAAGGCTCGGACTCTGAGAGGATTACCCACCGCTGACCCTGCCAGCACCACTGGCCTTGGAAGGTGGTGGTGGGGAGGGGTGGAGAGAAAAAGGCCAGCACCAAGCCCGCCCCATGCCACCTGGCGGTGAGGAGAGGAATCCCCCGGCTGGTCTCTAGAGGCAGAGGCCGGGCAGCGGGAGAGAGCAGGGTGCCTCCTCCTCCTCCTCCTCACGGGAGCTTGGCTGACCGTGGCAGGGAGGGAGGCAGGCAGGCACCCGGGATGGAGGCACGGCAGGCAGCAGGTATCCCCGCTCAGCAGCCCTCCACTCTGACCTCTCAGCAGCAGCAAGGACGGCCGGGACAACAGCAGGCAGTGACAGCGGTGGGGGGAGGGAGGTGGAGCCGAGGATTGGGGAGGAGCCTGTTAAATGTGTCGGGGGGGCGGCCCCATGGGCCCCGCGGTAGCTACGGGCCTGGGCTGGACGCACACATCATTGAGTGCTGCTCTGTCATTTGTAACCATTCGCCTTCTGGGTTCTCTCATCCACATGGGAAGAGACGGAAGCAAAGGATTGCTAAGAGGCAATGTAAGCGCCCATTCCAATGATCTGTGGATCCACCCTTGGGTGTCTGTGAGCAAGAGAGCCTCACATGAAACAGTGCTCCTCTGAATGTCCGTACTTGCTGTACGCAACGATGGACTCTCCTGGCCCTTTCTCCTTCTTCCCACCCCAGTATTGACAACCAGTTTTAGGAGTGCTCCAGCCACATCATGACCAAGAGAAAGACTATCTCTGTGGCTCCCACCTGGTGCAGAGGCGATCCAAATTGGCATCTTGCTGAAATGCAGGATATAAGATAGACGGCACAGTGAGATGCGGCTGGTGGAGGGCGATTCTAGCGCATAGTATGTTTCAGCCAGCTTTCTCCAGCAATTAAATGTCATATGGTGCTGCATGTAGAATAGCCAGGAGATCCTAAGATTGTCTGGCAGACACAAGTTGTAGCTCTTTTTAGCATTATGCACCACTAGGTGGCAAGCTAGACTTGCTTTTAAGGCAAGAGATGTTTCAGAGGTGGGTTGCCATTGCCTGCCTCTGCGTCACGATGACCCTGGTATTTCTTGGAAGTCGCCCTTCCAAGGACTAGCCAAGGCCGACCCTGCTTAGCTTCTGAGATCTGACGAGATCGAGCTAGCCTGGGCTATCCCAACAAGCCAAACTTTCTCCAACAGACCAAACTGAACCTGCACGGAACAAACAGATCGAAACTATTCCTTTTTATTTTGCCTCTGCCAGCCCATTTGTATTTGAACCGCAACTCGCCGCAACAATATTAGTCATGATGAAAAAAGAAAACAAAACACAACCCACACAACTGGCCCCATTCTTTTTGCACCTTGGCTTTTTGTGCGAGGAGCCTGACTTTTGAAAATCGCTTTCTACCTGTGCTGCATTAGTCTGAACCAACCAATAGCTCTAGGTGGGTTTGTCTGCAGGAACAACCTCTCTCCAAGAGACAGTTACCCTTGGAAACCAAAGCCAGGACTCTTTCCTCCAGGGCAAGGGCTCTGTTGGTGGGGTTACCATACCAACCTGGCCAGGAACGGCACCTGAGCAGAGCCTGGTGTAACCGCTCCTCCTTTGGTTCCACGAGAGCCGGCCTTCTTGCTGCCGCAGTAACTATTCCGAAGACTGGCTTCCACCTGCAAACATGAATCTCATCCTTTCCAGGTAAAACGGGAGGCTTTACCCCTTTACTTTTAGGATAGGATTCTTCATTTGTACAGAAGGGATTGAGGCTCACCCCTTGAGAGAGATTACCATTCAGGAATGTGGCGGCAGGGGGGGGGTGAGGTGGGACTTGGAAGGACTGCCCAGACAACCAACACATTACAGAAGAATATATTATTTATACTTATTTGACAGATTTATATCAGGGGTGGCCAAACTCGATCAACGTAAGAGCCGCATAGAATAAACGTCAGATGTTTGAGAGCCGCAAGACATACATTGCACACACGGTTTTATTTAAAATTATGCAAATTTGCTTCTTATTGACATTAAATGAGAAAATGCCAAAAATAAAAACAAAAGGGTAAAAACAGGTATTGATAATGATATTTATTTGTCCAATTATATTTATTTGTTTGCTAATGATGTTTGTCAGAGAGAGAGAGAGGTGGAAAGAAAGAATCAACAGGTGGAAAGAAAGAGAGAAAGAAAAAGAGAGATAGAGAAACAAAGAAAGCAGATAGATGGGAGGGAGGGAGAAAAGGCATGCCTCCCGTTCGCTTCCCCAGCTGCCTTACCGGGAGCCGCACAATATGTGTGAAAGAGCCGCATGTGGCTCTCGAGCTGCAGTTTGGCCACCTCTGATTTATATGCTGCCTCCTTACCATCATGGAACTCAATGTGGGATTCCCATGGGGATTCGCAGGTGGTCTCCACACAGGCACTGGCCAGATCCTGCTGTGCTTTCGCCCAGCAACCATTTGCTACAAGGCTCTCATTGCTGCCAGGAACTGTGGCTCAGTGGCAGAGCCTCTGCTTTGCATGCAGAAGGTCCCAGGTTCAATCCCCGGCATCTCCAGTTAAAGGACCTAGCAGTAGGCGATGTGAAAGACCTCTGCCTGAGAGCTGGGGCCAGTCTGTGTAGACAATACCGACCTTGATGGACTAAGGGTCCGAATTCAGTACCAAGGCAGCTTCATGTGAACACAGAGGCATTAACAGGAGGAAAAGACCATTCACGCGGTAATTTCCCTGGCACTTTCCTTGCCTCAGTCCCTTGCAGTCGCTATCCCCCCCCCCCATGCCATCAGAGGGCTTTTAAAAAATCACTATGGCAAGAGGTCAATTACCAATTTTAAGTTCCAAAAGGCCCTCCCGGTGGCATACGTGGAAGGATGGCAGGCAAAATAAGGAAAATGACATCAATGGGGGGGTGGAACCTGAGGGGGGAAACTACACTGTCCTGTTCACACCAGTACAAACTCACTTGGGCCTTAACCCTTTCAAAAAAGGGAACAGTGGTGGGCACATGCAACAAGCCCCACCCCCTGCTCTCAGCAGCCCTCAGTCAGAGCAAGCAGCAGCCAGGTAAGTTGCAGAGCCACCGTTCCCCCGATCCAAGACGTGGGGAATCAAACCCGGTTCTCCCAGATTAGAGTCCGCGCACTTAACCACTACACCAAATGAGGAAAATGACATCAATGGGGGGTGGAACCTGAGGGGGGAAACTGCACTGGCCTGTTCACACCAGTACAAACTCACTCGGGCCTTTAACCCTTTCAAAAAAGATCATCCCAAAGTGGGTTTGGGAAAGATCACAGCAAAGCAGGGAAAAGCCCAAATGGTGCAGGATCAGGGGTCATTTCCTGCAGGAGTGCAGAGGAGCGGAGCTTCGGCAGTAAAGAGCCCGGGGGCGGGCACATGCAACAAGCCCCACCCCCTGCTCCCAGCAGCCCTCAGTCAGAGCAAGAAGCAGCCAGGTAAGCTGCAGAGCCCCCCCCCGGCCCCCCGGCTCAAAACAGTCCAGTGGCACCTTTAAGACCAAGTTTTATTCAGGTACAAGCTCTTCCTCCTCTGCGAGGACAGATCTGCACCCCCCCCCCCATAGCTAGCAATCCAAAACAGCCCAGTGGAGCCTGAGCGGTGGGTGTTGCCTTCCAACACATGTCCGGTGATGTCAGGGGGTGTGGCATATGCAAATAAGTTATGCTAATGTGTTATGTTAATGATCTCCTGCACCTCTTTTTCTACAAAATGGCCCCTGTGCAGGAGTGTAGAACGATGTCGGGTAGACACTGGGGGAAAAGTCCAGTCCATTTTGGGAGCCACGGAGAAACATGGCAGTGGGGTGGGAAGCAGCACATAATAGCTTCAGCAAAGCTTCAGCACTATTCTCAGTTTCTTTTTCACTGCAGCCCAGGACCTCAGCCTAGTAGAAGCAATAAAATATAAGAGTCCCTGCCCCAAGGAGTTTACAATCTATGTTTTGACAGCAGCAGACTCGACACAGAAGCTTTGCCGGGAAATGCGCACTATGAGGTTAAGTCAGAGGCTTCAGAGAAAGGGAGGGGGTCTGAGAAAGAATGCAAAGGGGGAGAGAGGCGGCATCAAAGAAGGGCTGTGTGTTTGTTGCAAGAGATGCTGAAGATAAAGAGCTGGCCGACCTCTGCCTCCCCCGTTGGGATTCTTTGCAACTTTGATTCATTATTTCCTGCACGAGGGTGTGGAGGCAACAGAAAGGGGCTCGGGGGGGAGAGAGAGAAAGAAGCCAGGACCGTTTGTGAAGCCTCAGTCTACGGCGGGAGGTGCAGAGACATATTTAGCAAAGGGTGGTGAGGACAGCAGACTTGAATGGCCACCAAGCGTCCCGGAACACCAGGAAAGTATTTTGCCGAAAGCAATTGGCAGGCCTAGAGCTGCACTCAAAACAGCCCAGGATTTCTAGAAAAACTTTCAGTCCTCCGTCGCCCCTGGCAAAGTCGCAGGCCAGCAAGGAGGCCGTGACGCCTCTTTTGTCTGAAGAGGAAATACTCCAGAGAGAGCCAAGAAACATCCTCTCCCGTACCCAACTCCCAACACATGTCCGAAGCAGCGACAGCCGCTTTGGGAAACTCTGCAGCTGCTAGAGACATTTACACCCATGACGACCATCCAGAGAGGTAGATTAAATCCAGATGCGTTACCAGCTGTTTTTTGTTCCTTCTGCGGCAGGCAGAACGCGAGACGGCGAAGCTTTCCCGATCACCTTATGTAAGGAAAAGCTTCGTTTCATCTCAACCTCATTTCCTTCTTTGATCGAGTGACGGAGGGAAGGCTGTTGATGTTGTTCACCTGGATTTCAGCAAAGCTTCTGACAGGCTTCCCCCATGATGTTCTGATGGGTAAACTAAAGGATAGTTAGGTGGACAGGGAACTGGTCAGAGAACCGCACTAAGAACATAAGAACATAAGAGACGCCAATGTTGGATCAGGCCAAAGGCTCATCCAGTCCAACACTCTGTATCACACAGTGGCCAGAAATACCAGTGCCATCAGGAGGTCCACCAATGGGGCCAGGACACTAGAAGCCCTCCCACTGTTGACGCCCCCAAGCACCAAGGAGACAGAGCATCACTTGCCCCAGAGTCCCTAACTTTTTTTTTTAATGGACCTCTGCTCCACATGCCTATCTAATTCCCTTTTGAAGCCGTCCATGCTTGTAGCCGCCATCACTTCCTGTGGCAGTGAATTCCAAGTGTTAATCCCTCTTTGGGTGAAGAAGTACTTTCTTTTATCAGTTCTAACCCGACCGCTCAGCAATTTCATGTAGTGCCCACGAGTTCTTGTATTGTGAGAAAGGGAGAAAAGTACCCCTAACCCTCAATCATGTCACCCCTCAGTCGTCGTTTCTCCAAGCTAAAGAGCCCTAAGCGCTTTAACCTTTCCTCATAGGGAAAGTGTTCCAACCCTTTTATCATCCGAGTTGCCCTTTTCTGCACTTTTTCCAAAGCTATAATATCCTTTTTAAGGTGTGGTGACCAGAACTGCACACAGTATTCCAAATGAGGTCGCACCATTGATTTATATAGGGGCATTATGATATTGGCTGATCTGTTTCCAATACCCTTCCTAATAATCCCCAGCATAGCATTGGCCTTCTTTATTGCAGTCACACACTGTCTCGACATTTTTAGTGAGTTATCTACTACAACTCCAAGATCTCTCTCTTAATCAGTCTCTGCCAGTTCAGACCCCATCAATGTGTATTTATAGTTAGGATTTTTGGCTCCAATGTGCATCACCTTGCACTTGGCCACACTGAACCCCATTTGCCACGTTGACGCCCACTTGCCCATCCTTGACAGATCCCTTTGGAGTGCCTCACAATCCTCACTGGTTTTCACCACCCTGAACAACTTCGTATCATCCGCAAATTTATCCACTTCACTGCTTACTCCCAACTCCAAATCATTAATGAACAAGTTAAAAAGCAGTGGACCAAGTACTGATCCCTGCGGTACCCCACTGCTTACCACCCTCCACTGAGAAAATTGCCCATTTATACTCACTCTCTGTTTTCTATTAATTAGCCAGTTTTTGATCCATAAAAGGACTTGTCCTTTTATCCCATGATTTATCCCATGATCAGTGAGTAGTTGTCAATGGCATTTCATCTGAATGGAGGGAGGGGTCCAGTGGGGTGCCACAGGGCTCGATTCAGGGCCTGGTACTTTTCAATATTTTTGTAAATGATCCGGATGATGGTGTGGAGGGGCTGCTCATTAAATTTGCAGATGACGTGACACCAAATTTGGGAGGAGCAGCGAACACTTCAGCAGATAGAGGTAGAATTCAACAAGATCTGAACACACTGGAAAAGTGGGCAGATGTGAACAAGATGCAATTTAACAAGGATGAGTGCCGAGTTCTACAGCTGGGTAACAAAAATGAGGAACACGCACACTGGATGGGGGATACACTTCTGAGTAGCAGTGTGTGTGAACAAGATCTTGGTGTACGGGTGGACTGAAAGTTAAATAAGAGCACCCAGTGTGATGCAGTGACAAAAAAGGCTAATGCGATCTTGGGGTGTATCCAGGGGTCATTTCCTGCGGGAGCGCACAGGAGCGGAGCTCCGGCAGTAAGGAGCCCAGGGGGTGGGCACATGCAACAAGCCCCACCCCCTGCTCCCAGCAGCCCTCAGTCGGGCCATGAGGAGCAAGAAGCAGCCAGGTAAGCTGCAGAGCCTCTCCCTTGCCTGCTTTCAAATACAAGCTCTCCTTCCTCTGTGAGGGCAAATCTGCACGTCCCCCCCCCAATAGCTAGCAATCCAAAACAGTCCAGTGGCACCTTTAAGACCAAGTTTTATTCAGGTACAAGCTCTCCCTCCTCTGCGAGGACAGTTCTGCCCGTTCCCCCCCCCCAATAGCTAGCAATCCAAAACAGTCCAGTGGAGCCTGAGCGGTGGGTGTTGCCTTCTGACACACTTCCAGTGATGTCAAGGGGTGTGGCATATGCAAACAAGCTATGCTAATAAGTTATGCTAATGAGCTCCTGCACCTCTTTTCCTACGAAATGACCTCTGGGTGTATCAACAGAGAAATAACATCCAAATCTCAAGATGTCATAGTCCTGCTGTAGATTGCATTGGTCAGGCTGCACCTGGAGTTTTGTTCCATGATCATGGGGCTGTCACTAAGAAGGCCCTGTCTCTGTGCCCCCACCAGACGAGCTTCTTTGATTGATGGCACAGTCCGGATTTTGCTTGACTACAGCCTACTTGTTCATTTGGCAACTGTGTTTTTGTAAATTCTGTGAGTTCATTTGCACAGTTTTTGTACTTGACTGTAGCGTTGTACTGTTTTCAATAGAGTTACTACTTGTGAATTCTCATTGGTGGAACATTTATACTCTTACTATATATGATTCTTTTTCTAGTAGTGGGTGTCAGGGTAAATGCTTCCTCTAAGCTGTGGAGTCTTGTGAGCAAAAATTCTACTTTGTGAGCGACTGGCATTAAAGTTGTGAGTGAGCGATTGGGCTACTGCATAAATTAGTTTGCTTTGGAGCCCTCCTTCCTGAGCTCAGACAAAAATGTGTGAGCTGGAGGCTAAAAAACTGAGCTAGCTCACACTAACTCAGCTTAGAGGGAACACTGGTCAGGGTTCTTATTCAGGTTATGCAACACAGGGCTTCATGAGAAGATAACTGTTTATTGGTAAATCCAGTACTAGAGACACATGTACAGCTTGTGTCAGAAATGGCCACCAATACTAGGACCTCTGACTTATACTAGAATCAAACATCCCCCCGGTAAGCATGAGCCAATGGATACATCTCGCGCACACGGGCAAAGCAAGCAGGCAAAGCAAAAACCGTTAACTTTCCCAGCCAAGTAAAAGTGCAGCTGGAGCATCTACAAGGTCAAGCATAAGATAGCAAACAGTTGGTGAGCCAGGGAGAGCTGAGACACCCCTCCACATTCCAGACCTATGACAGGGTTACCTGACATCGAGGAGCTTTTGAGGTGCAGCCCTCTTTTGGAGTTTACTGTTTCTGGTTTCAGTATCTCTCTCCCTCCATTGTCCTTTGTTGTTTTTGTATAGCTGAGAAAAGCTGCCAGTCCTAAGTAGTCGTGTTTAGGACTTGTTTTCTCCGCAGATGACCGTAAAATTTTGGGGGGAGAGGTGGGGGACACAATTTCTCTAAACTAAAAAAAACCCAGATTACTCCTCATTGCAGGGACAACCAAGTGAAGGTGATGGAGACCGTGGTCACCAACGCGGAGACGTACTTCGGCAAGTTCTGCACTCTGATGGCCTCGTACACCCGCAAGACGGCCAAGTTGCGGGACAAGTCCGACCTGCTGGTCAAGCAGCTGATGGACTACGCCAACACGGAGAACCCCGAACTCCGGACTTCCGTGAAGAACTTCGCAGAGGAACTGGCCAAAGTGCAGGACTACAGGCAAGCGGAGGTAAACAGCCCAGCTCGCGCGGCCCACAATGAAAAGAAAAACATCTCCACAAGGAGTGGGACATTTATGGGCCAGGACCGGCTGTGTTACACTCAGAGGTGGCTTGTGTCTGATTTGAAGGGACGGAAGCCTGGTAGTTTGAGAGCAAAGCTTTCTCTAGCATGACCATTTCTATGATACAATCTATACATTTCCATCCCGGTGCAAGGGCTGCCGCCTCCAGTTTGGGAAATCCCTGGAGATTTGAGGGTGGTGCTGGGGGACGACAGAGTCTGGGGATGGATAGGAGTTCAGCAAGGATGTGATGTCATGGAGTCAGGGGTCATTTCGTAGAAAAAGAGGTGCAGGAGCTCATTAGCACAACTCATTTGCATAACTTATTTGCATATGCCACACCCCCTGACATTACCAGAAGTGTGTCAGACGGCAACACCCACTGCTCAGGCACCACTGGACTGTTTTAGATTGCTAGCTATGGGGGGGGGCGCAGATCTTCCCTCACAGAGGAGGGCGAGCTTGTACCTAAATAAAACCTGGTCTTAAAGGTGCCACTGGACTGTTTTGGATTGCTAGCTGGGGGGAGGGAACACACAGATCTGTGCAGAAAGGAAGGAAGGAAGGAAAGAGAGAAAGAAATAGAAGGAAAGAAGGAGAGAAAGAGGGAAAGAAAGAGGGAGAGAAGGAAATAAGGAGGGAAAGGGAAAGGAGAGAAGGAAAGAAGGAGGGCTGCTTCTTGCTCCTCGTGGACTGGGGCTGCTGGGAGCAGGCGGTGGGGCTTGTTGCATGTGCCCACCCCCTGGGCTCTTTACTGCTGGAGCTCCGCTCCTGTGCGCTCCTGCAGGAAAGGACCCCTGCATGGAGTCCACCCTCTGAAGCCACCATTTTCTCCAGGGGAAAAACTGATCCCTGTAGCCTCGAGGTCTGTGGCAAATAAGGGTTACCATTTGGGCAGTGCTCAGTCGAGAGATTGGGGAGGGGGAACAACGCCGCACAACACAGCGACATCCCTTCCGTTTGACGACCTGGAAGTGAGATCACTGCATCGAGCGACTCTGTAGGAGTTCTCCAGTGTATGTGGTCTTTACCACAGAGATATGAAAAACTCCTAGAGTGTCGCGTGCCAGAGTGAGATCCCAGTTTTCACCTGGAAGTGACGTTCCCATGTGGTGTGACACTTCCCCCTCCCCATGGCCCACCCCTCTATGGCCAGGGCAGGCTTGTCAACCCTACTTTTAATTCTGACAGAGCTCCTACCCTTTCTCTGAGGAGCTTAAAGCACGGCTCTCCCCATCCCTTTTCCTCTCACGACAGCCTTGTAAAGTAACTTAGGCTGAGGGAGAGTGAGCAATTGCCCCAAGATCACTCAATGAACTTCATGACCACGTAGGGACTTGAATCCAGGTCTCCACTATGCACACTGCATCTCAAAATGAGGGAGAAGAAGAAGAGATCAGATTTATACCCCGCCCTTCACTCGGGAGTCTCAGAGCGGCTCACAAACTCCTTTCCCTTCCCTGGCCCACAACAGACCCCCCCTGTGAGGTAGGTGGGGCTCTTTGAGAGAACTGCCCTTGAGAGAACAGCTCTGACAGAGCTATGGCTTGCCCAAGGTCATCCAGCAGGCGCAAGTGGAGGAGTGGGGAATCAAACCCGGTTCTCCCAGATTAGAGTCCGCACACTTAACCACTACACCAAACTGGCTCTCAGTGGAGAAGATAATTCCCTTTTCCCCTGTTACGCTTTTGTAAAAGCATGTGAGCCCTGACAGATCAAAGATGGCAAACCAATGGGTGCCCTTTCATTGTCCTTCACCCCAGAGGCCAGGCGATTGTCCTTCATGGAGCCCTGCTCATACCTGCCACCACCTTCCCTTGAAGGAGGCCTTTGTACCATGGCTGCCTACATAGCTTATTACATATCTTTTTACAGCACACAACATGCTTCTCGCTTTAGGTGGAGAGACTGGAAACTAAAGTCATTCAACCTCTGAAGATGTACGGTGCTCTCATCAAGCAAACCAGGGTGAGTGACAAATTTAAAAGCAAACCCCACAGCAGGTTCACCACATTTTTACCCTGTCCTACCCTGAAGGATGGAGCAGCGGTGGCTCAAGTGGTTAAGACGCTGAACTGCAGGCTGTGGAAGGTCAGTAGTTCAGCAGTTCGAGACCCGGCTGCCGCATGACGGAGTGAGCTCCCGTCTCTAGTTCCAGTTCCTGCCAACCTAGCAGTTCGAAAGCAAGAAATTGCAAGTAGATAAATAGGTACCACTTCGGTGGGAAGGTAACAGCGTTCCGTGCGCCTTGGTGTTTAGTCATGCCAACCACACGACCACGGAAACGTCTTCGGACAGCGCTGGCTCTTCGGCTTTGAAATGGAGATGACCACCGCAGCTTTGAAACGGAGATGAGCACCGCAACCCTAGAGTCGGATTTGACTGGGTTTCGAGCAAGGGAACCTTTACCTTTACCTTGAAGGATGGAGCCACGGTGGCTCAGAGGTTAAGACACTTAGCTGCAGACTGGAAGGTCGGTAGCTCGGTGGTTTGAGACCCAAGTGCCACGTGATGGAGTGAGCTCCCGTCTCTGGCCCCAGCTCCTGCCAACCTAGCAGTTTGAAAGCAAGAAATTGCAAGTAGATAAACAGGTACCGCTTCGGTGGGAAGGTAACAGTGTTCTGTGCACCTCGGCATTTATTCATGCCAGCCACATGACCACAGCGCTGGCTCTTCGGCTTGGAAACGGAGATGAAAACTACCCCCTAGAGTCGGATTCGACTGGCTTTCGGAGCAAGGGAAACCTTTACCTGTACTTACCCTGAAGGAGGTTGGGGTGTATACGTAGTTGTCCCTTTCTCCACACAGCCCCCCTGTGAGGTGGATCGGGTTGCAAGTGACTTGCCCAAGATCACACGATGAGCTTTATGTCAGAGTTTGAACCTGAGTCTTTTTCTCCTATTAGCCCAACACTCTTAACAACGATACACTACCTTGATTCCGGCACCCAATGTATAATTTTGGATTCTCATGGGGTAACCGTCCCACACTCCACTAGGGTTGCCAGCTCTGGATCAGGAAAAACCTGGAGATTTTGGGGTTGAAACCTGCAGAGGGCAAGATGTGGGGGAGGGACCTCCGCAGGAAACATTGTCGTAGAGTTCACCCTCCAAAGCAGCCATTTTGTCCAGGTGAATTGATCTCTGTGGTCGGGAGATCAACTGTAATTCCAATGCTCCCTCTAAGCTGTGGAGTCCTGTGAGCAAAAATCCTACTTTGTGAGCTACCGGCATTCAAATTGTGAGCGAGCCATTTGGCTATACCGCATCAATTAGTTTGCTCTGGAGCCATCCTTCCTGAGCGAAGAGGAAAAGGTGTGGAGCCGGAGGCTAAAAAACTGTGAGCCGGCAGCTCACGCTAACTCAGCTTCCAGGGAACACTGCTCCTGACCCCGCCTAGAGGTTAATAATCCTCCGGTGGCTCAAGTGGTTAAGACGCTGAACTGCAGGCTGTGGAAGGTCAGTAGTTCAGCAGTTCAAGACCCGGGTGCCGCAAGACAGGGTGAGCTCCTGTCTCTAGTTCCAGCTCCTGCCAACCTAGCAGTTCGAAAGCAAGAAATTGCAAGTAGATAAATAGGTACCACTTCGGTGGGAAGGTCACAGCGTTCCGTGCGCCTTGGTGTTTAGTCATGCCGGCCACATGACCACGGAAACGTCTTCGGACAGCGCTGGCTCTTCGGCTTTGAAACGGAGATGAGCACCGCATCCCTAGAGTCGGACTCGACTGGCTTTCGAGCAAGGGAGACCTTTACCTTTACCTTTAATCCTGACTATTTGAACTTCTCAAATTTTACTATGCAAGACTGAGACTATGGAGAACAAGCGTGGATACGACAGGCATCTTGTTCTAGGCCTGCTCTCCTTTTCGGTCAGTGAATCGTGTCCAAACAGAATGCCTTTGTTACCCTTGATAGGCCGAGATCAAAAAGTTCAACAAAGCCCGAAGCAACGAGATACGACAACTGGAGAAGCTGGAGAAGCTCCGGCAGAAGTCGCCGTCTGACCGACACATCATCGTATCCTTTCTGGGGCCTTCATGCCGCTTCTAGTATTTCCCTACTATAAAGACACTCTGGGGTTTGCATTCTGGGTTTCCCAGCATCAGACCGAGCACCAAGCTCTGCCTTCCTTAAGGCAGAATTACGAGCCCTCCCCCAAGGAGGTTTGTGTTTCAATGAGGCTTCCTTCCGAGCTTTCCACAGAGCAGTGGGATCCAAGGAAACCTATTGGAAACAGACGCGTGCAGGGGAAGCCGTCTTCTTGCATCAAGGAAAGGAAAATAGATTGTCGCAGGCCAGCAGCCGGCCCCGCTCGGGAGCTAGCTGGGGCTCAGATAAATGAGATGAAAACAGTATGAATAATACTCAAGTGACAAGCATGGGGGTTTAAAAAGAAAACCCTCAGGCTACATCCTTGTTAAGGAGCTACGAAAGTGAGTGGGCAGATCAGAACACCCCGCCCTGCAGACATTTTAGCCCAGGGGTCCCCAACAGGGTGCCCACCAAGTGTTTTTAGAGACTGGGTGGGGTCAGGTGGGGTTTTTGTTGTCTGATTGATTGATTTACACCCCGCCCTCCCCGCCAAAGCAGGCTCAGGGCGGCTTACAAGAATAACATCAACAATTATAACAAGGGTAAAACCATCTGAAAACACTTGAAAACATAAAGGGCTAGCTAGTCGTAACTCATACATTAGGAATGGCGGCCATGGTTACTTTATTCTTCGGTTCTCGATCTTTGCCGTATATATACGACTGGCCCCGGCTGTAATGGAGTCGGGCGTCTCTTTAATAGTGATGTAGATAATGATGGTGGTGGTGGTGGTGGCAGCTCGCAAATCGAATGGCTGGTGGAAGAGCTCCGTCTTGCAGGACCTGCGGAACTGTTCTGATCTCTTCTGGAACTGAACCCTGATCTTTTCTGGGAGCTCGTTCCAACAGTACGGAGCCGCTACCGAGAAGGCCCTGGCCCTGGTTGTGGCCAGTCTGACGTTTTTAGGGCCTGGGAGGGTCAATCGATGTTGTGACCCTGAACGCAGTGCTTGCTAGGGTACATATTTTTGCCCAGCTTCTGATTGGCCATTGGAGATCTAATTGGCAGTGCAGATTTTTTTTTAAAAAAACATTGCTTTACCTGCAGCTGCCATCACGACACAACAATCTTCACTGTGTGACTGGCAGTAAGCGGCAGCAGCCTTTGAATGGCTGGCTCCCCCGTGGCAGCCATTTTGTAGCTGCTTCCACTGCACTGTATCAGAATGCCAAAGGCTCAAAAAAGGCTAGGGGCCCCTGGCCAAACAATACTAGGGGTGTACAGCCTATTTGCTATTCCAAGTCTCAGTGATGGAACAAAGAAGGAGGAGGAGGTTGGATTTATACCCCGCCCAGGCCCGTAGCTAACCAGGGGCCCATGGGGCCCGAAGGATCTTCACTGTGTGACTGGCAGTAAGCGGCAGCAGCCATTGAGTGGCTGGCTCCCCCGTGGCAGCCATTTTGTAGCTGCTCCCACTGCACTGAATCAGAACGCCAAAGGCTCAAAAAAGGCTAGGGACCCCTGTTTTAGCCAAACAATCCTAGGGGTGTACAGCCTATTTGCTATTCCAAGTCTCAGTGATGGAACAAAGGAGGAGGAGGAGGAGGAGGTTGGATTTATACCCCACCCTTCACTCGGAGTCTCAAGAGCGGCTTACAAACTCCTTTCCCTTCCCCCTCCCCACAACAGACACCCAGTGAGGTAGGTGGGGCTGAGAGAGCTCTGACAGAAACTGCTCTTTTTCAAGGACAGCTGTGCCAGAACTATGGCTTGCCCAAGGTCATCCAGCAGCTGCGAGTGGAGGAGTGGGGAATCAAACCTGGTTCTCCCAGATCAGAGTCCGCACACTTAACCACTACACCAAACTTCTAGCCCAATACTCTAGCCCAAAGAAGACAAGAGTGCCCCTGTACATGTGCAGAATCCTTCTTGCCATTGAGAATGAGCTTATGGGCTTGGCTCCCAGACACCCTTCATCCTCCTCCTCTTGTTTTAGAAATGTGACAACATCGCACCAAAACCAACCCAAAGCGGCCTCCAAAATATCCAGGAGGGGTGCTAGTGCACTTGGAGTGCCTTCTTTCAGGTCTGAGACTGAATGGTAAAACCCAGGGGTCATTTTGTAGAAAAAGAGGTGCAGGAGCGCATTAGCATAAGTCATTAGCATAACTTATTTGCATATGCCACACCCCCTGACATCACCAGAAGTGTGTCAGAAGGCAACACCCACTGCTCAGGCTCCACTGGACTGTTTTGGATTGCTAGCTATTGGAGGCGGGGGGGACACGCAGATCCTCATGCTCCTCGTGGCTCGGCCTGCTGGGAGCAGGGGGCGGGGCTTGTTGCATGTGCCCGCCCCCTGGGCTCTTTACTGCTGGAGCTCCGCTCCTGTGCACTCCTGCAGGAAATGACCCTTGGGAAAACCTAGAAAGTGGGTATTAAATACTGGGTTCAAGACGCATTGCAGTGAAACAGCTCTGCTTTATTAAGTGATTTCAGGAACAAGACTAAAACACCAGGGCAACAGCCCTGTATAAATAGTGTGCAAAAACCACACCCAAACAGACCCAACCCCCAACAATAGGCTATTTACATAACATTAGTTCCTCACTGGTCACCTCCCGAGTCCTGGTGGGCTATTGTTCTAGAGCTCCAAGCTCAGCCAGTCTCTGGTAAACAGTCCTGGAATGTTCCAGCCCTAATACATAACAATTACAGCACAGCGTCGTGGCCCAAAACAGAAGTCCAGTTTGGAAGCAGAAGTGGAGAAAAAGCAGTTCAGACCATACCAGGCACGCATTTGCCATTCATTGCAGGTCCCAGGTTCTAAATTTCCCAATAGCTTCCCGGCATCCGCAAATTTAAAAAATATCATAAAGATGCAGGAGTTCTCTCCATTCATAAGACATTTATCCTAAGGGGGGGGGGAAGATATCTGTTGGGAAAAGAGGAACTGCAGGATAATCCGGGAGGCTCAGCTAAGATTTCCGTCTCCCCCCCCAGCTCTGCAAAAGATATTTTAATCAGGAGTTCCTTCAGAACTAAACCCTTTTTTCCAAAGGGAGATGCTTTCAGCAGAAAAATCTCCAGGAGAGATTCTCCAGGGGAGGGGAGGTGGCTCGACATCCTTTTAATCCCGGCAGTACTCAGCTGGGCTGCCGAGGGATCAGGAGAACCGCAGGAAGCTACCTGACCTTCAAGGAGGGGATGAATTCCGCCCCCCCCCCCCGGGGCCTTCGTTTCTCTCGTTGAGCTGCAGCCAAAACCATTAATCCCCTAAATTTAAAATAGTTTCAGAGGGGAACTGTTACTGGTCTGCCATAGAACAATCTGGAAGCACCTTAGAGACCAACAAGATAATAGCAGGATCTTTTGGGGGTCAAAGCTCCCTGGATCAGACAGATTTAAAATGGCACGCACGCACCCTAAAAAGAAGAAGCCAACTGTCTACTCTGTCCAACTGTCCACAGCCAGTCTGGTGTAGCGGTTAAGTCTGCGGACTCTAATCTGGGAGAACCGGGTTTGATTCCCCGCTCCTCCACTCGCAGCTGCTGGATGACCTTGGGCAAGCCGTAGCTCTGTCAGAGCTGTTCTTGAAAGGGCAGTTTTGGAAAGAGCTCTCTCAGCCCCACCGACCTCACAGGGTGTCTGTTGTGAGGAGGGGAAGGAAGAGGAGTTTGTAAGCTGCTCTGAGACTCCGAGTGAAGGGCGGGGGATAAATCCTATAAATCCAATCTCCTCCTCCTCCTCCTCTTCTTCTTGTCAGAGCAAATCACAGCACGCGAAATCCAACATCTAACACAACATTGCCATTCCTTTTGCAAGATCCTGAACCGTGTAGGCTCCTGGCCGACGGCCGTTCCATCTTAAGAGATGGGAGAACACAGCCCTTTAAGTATCCTGGCTAGACGCCATTTAGGGCTTTAAAGAAAACATCAGCACTTTGAACTGGGCACAGACGTCGCAGGAATCCGGTGAAGTTGTTCGAAGCACCATGGAGATACGGTCTCAGTATCAAGAGCCAGTCAACTGCCTGGTGCAGGATTCCGCAGCCATTTTTTCCCTCCGGGCCAGTTTGGCCGGGGCTCCTGGAGGAATGTTGCCATCTTCTGGGCACGGAGCAGGGGTCACCGTGGGGCATTTCAGGGCCCTGCCTCCTTAATTAAAAGCCCTGCCCCACAAATAGCCATGCCAAAAACTTTATTTTGGACCATGGCCCAGGTGGTAGTGGGCTAGCAGAAAGAGGGATTGTTGGAGATGTTTTGAAGGTACCCTTATCACTGTCTTGCCCTGTGGAAGGGAACTCGAAAGGTATCCAAATGCCTTCCGAAGGCAATTAAATGGCCCCTGAGTTGTTTTTTCCCTAGAAACTGACGTGTGGCTTGAGGCGCTCTTCTCCGAAGAACACCTAGGTAGGTGGTTCTTTTTTAGTGCAGGGTTTTGGGCGGGAGGGACGGATTGGAGACGGACAGGCAACGATTCCCAGATGTTGCCGTGGGATCGTGCCTGTTTGCTCCGCCCCCGAACCATCCCTCTCCCGACCCAAATCCACTCGTCTGACCGGGGCCTTTGATTTTGATATTATGATTCGTTCTTGATGTATATCATTATATCTACCTATGTTCCTTTCTATATTGGTGAAAAACAATAAAAAATAAATTTTGGGGGGGATGTGTGAACCACAGGCTAAAAAACTGTGAGCTAGCTCACACTAACTCAGCTTAGAAGAAACACTGGTCACTGGGTGTGTGTGCGTGGGGGGAGGTTTTTGTGAATTTCCTGCATTGTGCAGGGGGTTGGACTAGATGACCCTGGAGGTCCCCTTCCAGCTCTATGGTTCAAACTGAAGCTCCCAAACAATCTCCCAAGCCAGACCTATGCAGGTCGGAAGGAAGCATCCCCCCCCACCACCTGCTTTTGCAACAGTGTCGGCTGCCTGCCTCCAAAGTACCTGCAGCCTTTTGGGACACAACCGGGGCTCACATGTAATCTTCAGACTCCGCAAGAAGGGCCGTCTTGGCAGGGAAACAAGGTCAAGGCGCCTTTATGTCTAGAGAGGAGCCCTTCCCGGGGCCTCCCGCCAACCGCTCCTGTCTTCTGGAACCCTCCTTTATCCTCCCACACCTCCCCACTCAAGTTTTCTTAAACCAGTCCAGAGGCAGAGCGCTCACAGATGGAGAGATACCAAATCTCTCCCCCCCCCCCCAACTGCAGTTTCGGGCCTATAAAAGCACTTGACTGCCCTCTGGCGCTGAATCTTAATGCGCGCACATGATGCATTCCTTGGAATTTAGCCACTCTCTGCAGACCGCCAGCAACTTTTGCTTGTCCAAAGAATGCAATCTGCTCTCATGGACCAGACAAATTTATTTATTTATTTATTCATTCATTCATGCAATTTTTATCACAGCCTCCCCGCCACAGGCAGGCTCAGGGTAGCTCACATTAAGGAAGCAGTTTAGTTGAGATCAGGGGTCATCTTGTAGAATAAGAGGCTCAGGAGCTCATTAGCACACCTCATTAGTACAACTTGTTTGCATATGCCACACCCCCTGACATCACCGGAAGTGTGTCATAAGGCAACACTCACCGCTCAGGCTCCACTGGACTGTTTTGGATTGCTCGCTACTGGGGGAGGACATGCAGATCTGTCCTGGCAGAGGAGGGAGAGCTTGTACCGGAATAAACCTTGGTCTTAAAGGTGCCACTGGACTGTTTTGGATTGCTATCTCTGCAACTTACCTGGCTGCTTCTTGCTCGGACTGAGGGCTGCTGGGAGCAGGGGGCGGGGCTTGTTGCATGTGCCCGCCCCCTGGGCTCTTTACTGCTGGAGCTCCACTCCTGTGCGCTCCGGCAGGAAATGACCCCTGGTTGAGCTCACCAGGAGAACTATAACTGGAGTCTTCTTCTTCTTCTTGGCCATCAAATTGCAGCTGAGTTATGCCGACCCCAGAGGGTTTTAAAGCCCAGAGGCTTTCAGAGGTGGATTTTGCCCTTGCCTGCCTCTGCGTAGCAACCCTGGCATTCCTCGGTGGTCTTCCATCCAAATACTGACCAAGGCTGACCCTGCTTAGCTTCCCAGATTTGAGGAGATCGAGCTAGCCAGGGCTATGTATGACAAACTGGAGTCCAATGGAACCTTCAAGATGTACAAAATTTGTTCCCGCATATGCTGTCACGCTCCCTTCATGAGAGGCATGGCATAATCCACCAGATTGCTTTAGATACACCCAGGGCTTTTTTTGTAGAAAAAGCCCAGCAGGAACTCATTAGCATAATAGGCCATACCCAACAGCAGGAACTCATTAGCATATTAGGCCACACCCTGACAGGACAGCTCGTTCGCATATTAGGCCACACACCCCTGTTACCAGAAGTGTGGTCATCCAGCCACACCCACCTATTGCTTCTTATTCTCTTTACCTTGTTTGTTGTCCAAACCCAGGGCTTTTTGCATGTTAGGCCACACACCCCCAATTGTAGCCAATCGTAATGAGTTTCTGCTGTTGAGTGTGACCTATTATGCTAATGAGTTCCTGCTGGCCGTGGCCAGCTTGGGAACCAGCCGGAACTCCATTCCTGTGCGTTCCTGCCCAAAAATAGCCCTGGATACACCACAGAAAAGTGGAGGGGGTGTTACAAACAGAGAACAATGAGGAATTTAGCTCCTTCAAGCATCTCTGTCTTGCCTGACCCCTCCTGCCCTGGACCACACTCCTCCAATCCGCAAGTCACTTTTTCTGACCTCCGACTCCTCCTCCCCTTCCAGCCTTTGCCTGTTCAAAACAGCCTTCCCTCAGGTTCCATGTGTCTTCCTTTCATCTCTGGACCATAAATCTTCCTGCAGAAGGGTCTTCAGCGGATGACCAGGCTAGCAAGAAGAACTTGAGGCACGTTTCTATGTGCCATCAAGTTGCAACCAGCAAGGGGCTTTCAAGGCAAATGAGAAGCAGACGTGGTTTGCCGTCGCCTGCCTCTGCAGAGGCCTCCTTGGTGGTCTCCCTTCAAAGTACCGATCCTGCTTAGCTTCCAACGTATGGCAACCCCAGCAAGGGGCTTTCAAGGCAAGTGAGAAGCAGATGGTTGGTCATTGCCTTCCCCTGCAGAGCCCTCCTTGGTGGTCTCTCTTCCAAGCACCAACCCCAGCAAGGGGCTTTCAAGGCAAGTGAGACGCAGAGGTGGTTGGCCATTGCCTTCCCCTGCAGAGCCCTCCTTGGTGGCCTCTCTTCCAAGTACCAACCCCAGCAAGGGGCTTTCAAGGCAAGTGAGAAGCAGAGGTGGTTTGCTGTTGCTTTCCTCTGCAGAGCCTTCCTTGGTGGTCTCCCGCCCAAGTACTGACCCTGCTTAGCTTCAGAGATCAGATGAAATCGGGCTATATCATACCATTCCACATCTCCAAGAAGAACTAAGCCTTAAGAAAAACTGGCACAGTGTTTTAGGAGTGGCTTGGTCAGGCAGATAGCTTCCACTCAAATTGTTCTTTGCCCTTTACTGCTTTGTGTTTTAACCTTGACTCCAATACTCAGTCACAGGTAAGAGTCTACTGCCTCTCTTCCCTCCCCAAGGAAAGACAAATGCCCTGACAGACAGCAATATGTGAGTTTAAAAGCAGGTGAGAAGCTCAAGGTGACCCTGGTCGTTTCCCCATAGCTTCAGGAAAGGATGGCTAACTAGGTAAGATGCTCAAGCTGGGGCGTGTTCACAGGATCCGTTTAGCACTGGTTGGATCACTAGAATGACATCTGGGTGAGTCCCTCGTGGTACCGGGTGGGGGAGATGTACCACAGTCTTACTTATTTACAGGGCTTTTTTTGTAGAAAAAGCCCAGCAGGAACTCATTAGCATAATAGGCCACACCCAACAGCAGACACTCATCAGCATATTAGACCACACACCTGACAGCACAGCTCATTAGCATATTAGACCACACACCCCTTCCCTTCCCTTGGCTTGCCTGGGCGCCCTGCGGCTGTGGGGAGCCCAGGCAAGCCCCCATTGAAGGAAAGGGAAGACAGCTGTGGGGCACCCGGGAAAGCCGGCCCTTGGACAGGCCAGGGAAGGCACAGGGAGGCATTTAAATGCCTCCCTGATCCTTCCAGGGGGCCCCCAGCCCACCCACTGGAGTTGGCAGGGGGTGTCGCTCTCCAGGCCTTCCCTCTGTAGCCACGCATGCGCAGAGCTTTTGGCTGTAGTGGGCGTGGCCAACTCTGAAGCCAGCCGGAACTCCGTTCCTGTGCGTTCCTGCCCCAAAATAGCCCTGCTTATTTATTTAATTCATTTATACCCCACTTTCCTCCTCATCGGGGACCCAAAGTGGCTGACGTCATTCCCCTCCCCTCCATTTTATCCTCACAACAACCCTGTGAGGTAGTTTAGGCTTGAGAGAGTGTGACTGGCCCAAGGTCACCCAGCGAGCTTCCATGGCATAAGTGGGGATTCGAACCCAGGTCTTCCAGACCCGACTCCAACAGCCTTAACCACTACACCGCACTGGCTTCAAGACATCCGTTTGGAAGTGGCCCCATTGTTTTCTGTGGCAAGAAGAACAGGCGGACTTTGCGGCTTCCAGATCAGTGGCTTCCGCACGAGGGAAAAATACATATTGATGGAGGCCCATGCAGTGATCAGTGGCTCTAGCTGGGCATGCACGTCTCCCTCAGAACAAATGCAGAACTTTTGCTGCTGACAGCCCTTTCGACTGCTGCATATGAAATGTGTTTTAGCTTTCTGGAATCTATCCCATTCAGGAGAATGAAGACTCGGGAGCAAGGTATTTCTGGGTCACAGTACTGAGCACTGTGGAGCATTCTCAGTCTTTACTGCTGCCATCCTTACAAGATGCTTCAGAGGAGAGAGAGTCACTTGCCAAAGTCATTAACTCGGTTGTAGGCAAGGGATAGAGTTGCCAACCTCCAGGTAGGGTCTGGTGATCTTGTGGAATCACAATTACATACAGAGATCAAATTCCGAGTCCGGCAGCACCTTTAAGACCAACAAAGGTCTTTTCGATGTATGAGCTTTTGTGTGCAAGGCACATTTTTTTTTTCAATTTAAGCTCCTTTGTTGGTCTTAAAGGTGCTCTTGGACTTGAAATTTATTCTACTGCTTCAGACCAACACGGCTGCCCACCTGGATCTATACAGAGATCAGTTCTCCTGGGGAAAAATGTCTGCTTTGGAGGCTGGCTCTAAGGCATTATGCCCCCCCCCCGGACCTCCCTTTCCCTCCCCTAACCCTGCCCTTCCCAGCAATGCTCCCTCTAAGCTGTGGAGTCTTGTGAGCAAAAATTCTACTTTGTGAGCTACTGGCATTAAAGTCATGAGTGAGCGATTTGGTTTGCTCTGGAGCCACATCCTTCCTGAGCTAAGACAAAAATATGTGAGCCAGAGGCTAAAAAACTGTGAGCCAGCTCACACTAACTCAGCTTAGAGGGAACATGGGATGCACTCAATGTTCCCCCTAAGCTGGGGAGTCTTGTGAGCAAAAATGCTACTTTGTGAGCTCCTGGCATAAAAGTTGTGAGCGAGCAATTTGGCTGCTGCATAAATTAATTTGCTCTGGAGCCCTCCTTCCTGAGCTAAGGCAAAAATGTCTGAGCTGGAGGCTAAAAAACTGTGAGCTAGCTCACACTAACTCAGCTTAGAGGGAAGACTG